AGACATACAATAATGCAAACAAAAAAGGAATCATGGGAAAAGTTCTGAACTACATTGAATTTTAAAATCCCACCAAGAATGATATAGACTTTTCTAAAGAAATTAACAGGAAAAACAACTTTAATGGAAAATTTAAAAAGAATATATGAAAACCGTAAGTAAAAATAACAAAAAACTTCTGTCAGAAAGGCTATTCAATTTAAGAAATACAAATGAAATAGATAAAGAAATGGAGCAGAGCCAAGTAGAGAAAACTAGACACATGCATCACAAGACTAAGAACCAAACACAAGACTAAACCAACATTTACATTTAATGGAAATGGTGCAAGAACCAATAAGAGCTAATTGAACACATGCTACTACACTGCCCAAGATTCAACTCCCACATCATCATCATCATCCTCAAGGGGCTGATGCTGATGGGGCACATGGCCACATCCACCCTTCACTTCCAGCCAAGGGGGTCCCTCATGGCAAGTCTCCAGGCAGGCCCTTGGCCCATCTCTAACTCCGTGTGGCAGGTCTCGTCGAGCTTCCCAAGCCATGACCTCCTAGATCCTCCCACAGGCCTCTTCCAACCAGGCTTGACACACAGAGAGACAACCTCACTCCATGGCTCCGTACCTCTGGGGCCTCCTGCTGCTCCGAGATCCCCCACAGTTCAGCCTGGGACTGCAAGGTGCCCAGTTTCCCTGGGTGGCCAAGAGGAGGCACTGCAGAAGTCTCGATGACGGAGAGGCTGTGAAGTGGCTGGGGAGACTTTTTCGCACTAGGCTAGCTGGCGGAGGCAGCTGAAAGCGAGAAGGCACGCAGGCACTTAATACTATCTAGGCTACCACACCATCGCTTCACATCACCCTGAGCCTAAAGCACCCACCCAACTCCCACAGAACAAAACTAAAACATGCTTTAAGATGAATGAACATACAAGACATTGATATAAATCGTCTGATTAAAGGTGCAAATAAACCATCTCCTATAAAGTACTACATACTGAGACATACAAAGTTTTTCCTACAAATAACTAAATTAACTGACATAATTTAAGAAACATGAAGCCCAAAAAGGATCCAGGGAATAGAGACAATAACCATACAACAACAAAGAAGAAAAAGAAGCAGAATATGCCATTAAAGGTCAAATTTTAAACTAAGTTTTTCATCAGTGGTCCATAAATCATTTAGATGGAATACAGTCCAATACACTTGCAAGATAACCAATGCGTTGTTTCCTGAACATACGCCAGTACTTCTTCCCCAAAAGGACCACACAGAAAGGCAACTTGACCTCTGGACTTCATGCTTCTGCAAAGGCCAAGAAACCTGTCCCATATATATTCTCAGCAAAATAGGCTAAAACACAGATTTAAACTTCAACAGGGTAATCGCAGCTTTACCTATGTATTCTCCAGTTTTTCAAAACTAATAAGGCTGCAATCTGCATCAAACACAATACATCGATACCCCTTATTTTGCATCGGGGACGCGAAGCCTACTACATTTTACACTGAAATTTCCCCCAAATCTTTAAATAATTCGTCTTTCTCTCGATACATATAAAAAAAATAAAGTTACTAACCTGACCACAATACATTCGATTCCTTTGATATTTTACTTTTTGTTCTAAAGTACTAATTGGTCATCGCTGAAACCCCAATTCGGCTGCTTTTCCCTTTTTTTTCTTCTATAAACATGAACAGCGCTCGTCTGTGGAGCTAAAGGGAGGTCTTACACGCGGACGCCGGAGTGACAACGATGCTGGATGATTGGATTATTGGTTTGTTTGTCTGTTTATGGGTTTATCTGTCTTCTGATGTCTGTTGATTTCCACCATGTCCTAACACTCTACTATTTTGTTTCTAATTCTCTCTCTCTCTCTCTCTCTCTCTCTCTCTCTCTCTCTCTCTCTCTCTCTCTCTCTCTCTCTCTCTCTCTCTCTCTCTCTCTCTCTCTCTCTCTCTCTCTCTCTCTCTCTCTCTCTCTCTCTCTCTCTCTCTCTCTCTCTCTCTCTCTCTCTCTCTCTCTCTCTCTCTCTCTCTCTCTCTCTCTCTCTCTCTCTCTCTCTCTCTCTCTCTCTCTCTCTCTCTCTCTCTCTCTCTCTCTCTCTCTCTCTCTCTCTCTCTCTCTCTCTCTCTCTCTCTCTCTCTCTCCCTCTCCTTCTCCCTCTCCTTCTCCCTCTCCCTTCCATTCTCTCTCTCTCTCTCTCTCTCTCTCTCTCTCTCTCTCTCTCTCTCTCTCTCTCTCTCTCTCTCTCTCTCTCTCTCTCTCTCTCTCTCTCTCTCTCTCTCTCCCTCTCCTTCTCCCTCTCCTTCTCCCTCTCACTCACTCACTCACTCACTCTCTCTCTCTCTCTCTCTCTCTCTCTCTCTCTCTCTCTCTCTCTCTCTCTCTCTCTCTCTCTCTCTCTCTCTCTCTCTCTCTCTCTCTCTCTACTCTCTCATCTCTCTCTCTCCCTCTCCTTCTCCCTCTCCCTCCCATTCTCTCTCTCTCTCTCTCTCTCTCTCTCTCTCTCTCTCTCTCTCTCTCTCTCTCTCTCTATCTATCTATCTCTCTCTCTCTCCTCTCCTTCTCCCTCTCCCTCCCATTCTCTCTCTCTCTCTCTCTCTCTCTCTCTCTCTCTCTCTCTCCTCTCTCTCTCTCTCTCTCTCTCTCTCTCTCTCTCTCTCTCTCTCTCTCTCTCTCTCTCTCTCTCTCTCTCTCTCTCTCTCTCTCTCTCTCTCTCTCTCTCAAATTACACTTTACGCATGGCTATCAAGAGAGAGAATGAGACAGAGGTGGATTTTGAAACTGCAGTCTCATTTTCAATAAAACTAGTTTTTGTCTCTGTCTGTCTCTGTCTGTCTGTCTGTCTGTCTCTCTCTCTCTCTCTCTCTCTCTCTCTCTCTCTCTCTCTCTCTCTCTCTCTCTCTCTCTCTCTCTCTCTCTCTCTCTCTCTCTCTCTCTCTCTCTCTCTCTCTCTCTTTCTCTTCTCTCTCTCTCTCTCTCTCTCTCTCTCTCTCTCTCTCTCTCTCTCTCTCTCTCTCTCCCTCTCCTTCTCCCTCTCCCTCCTATTCTCTCTCTCTCTCTCTCTCTCTCTCTCTCTCTCTCTCTCTCTCTCTCTCTCTCTCTCTCTCTCTCTCTCTCTCTCTCTCTCTCTCTCTCTCTCTCTCTCTGTATATCTCTCTCTCTCTCTCTCTCTCTCTCTCTCTCTCTCTCTCTCTCTCTCTCTCTCTCTCTCTCTCTCTCTCTCTCTCTCTCTCTCTCTCTCTCTCTCTCTCAAATTACACTTTACGCATGGCTATCAAGAGAGAGAATGAGACAGAGGTGAATTTTGAAACTGCAGTCTCATTTTCAATAAAACTAGTTTTTGTATTGCGGGTTTTTCTACTATAGTATCTACACGGAAGAGTGTTTTACCATTCATCATGGACCCCACGGTTAAAATAAATCTCTCGTTCCTGTTTGCCTCCTTCCCTGACATGGTTCCTGTTTTTCGTGCTTACGAGAATTCTGTCATTGCCACGGCCCGACGGAAGAACCAACTTCATTTCTTCCATGACTGCTTTGAGAAGCAGGTGCTTCCTTCCTCGATGTCTAATGTACTGAAACATTTAGAGCAAGGCTCTCCCTTTCCGGACTATGCACTTCCTCTCCTCCTTAAACGTTTCTGCGCAGGTAGGAGGGATGTCGAGCATGCCTCCTCACCAGCAATAACTCCTCGGCTTCGGTTATACTTTCCTTTGCCCTCCGCCCTTACCGCCCCCCATCGACATTATTTCATCCTTTGACCATGTCATCTCTTTTCATAGGAACTCCTTGCCTGGTGTCTCTCTCCTTCGTGGTGCTTTCATTCCAGACCTCGAATCTCTCCTCAATCCTAACCCTTCCATTCCCCGGAGTTACCGTGAGGCCCTTCAAATCCTGCCCAGGGAGGATGTCACCAATTTGACTTCTGACAAGGGCAACTCGGTGGTGGTCCTCGACAGTGCCTCCTACCTGCAGAAGGCCCGGGACCTGTTGGATGACGCTTCTACCTATGTACCCCAGGCCAGCGACCCCCGTGAACGCATTGCTGCTACTTTCCACCGTTGCCTGAAAAAGATAGAAGCCTGTTTTCCGGAGGCGAATCTCTACCAGAGGTTCAGGGTCATCAACCCTCGACTCTCTCCTTTCTATGGTCTTCCTAAAACTCATAAGCCGGCCGTGCCTCTGCGCCCCATCATCTCTTCCCGGGGATGTGTGACGCACCCTCTTTCAGCATGACTGGCGAAGTTTCTCACTCCACTTCTTGACACCTTCTCTCCTGCTCATCTCCACCACTCTCAGGACTTCATCTTCCGTGTCCGGGATGTCTCGCCGGCGATCATGATGACCTTAGATGTCGACACCCTGCTTGATGACGTCCTCGCTTTCCTTCAGAAGAGGCTCCCCGCAGAGGTCGCTTCTACTCTCAGACCATCGGTGATACCATGGACTCTCTCCTCTCTCCAGTCTTGGCAAACCTGTTTATGGAATACTTCGAATCTGAGCTTCTCCCTTCCATCTCCCTTCGTTTGTCGGTTTGGCCGAGGTATGTCTTTGCTCTCTGGCCTCATGACCCTGCTCTATTCTCGGATTTCCTGACACAGCTAAACTCCCTCTCTCTTTCCAAGCGTTTCAAGGTGGAATGGGAGGTTGACAACAAGTTCCCCTTCTTGGACACCCTAGTTTATCGCTCTGCTGACCACTTCTCTTCCATATACAGGAAGCCTAAGAATTGTGGCATGTACATACACTTCTTCTCATTCCATCCTCTCCATGTAAAGAGAAGCGTTGCCACGTTGCTGTTCCTAAGCGCCCTCCGTATCTGTGACCCCCAGTACCTGGATGGAGAGATCGACTTCCTGCGTCGTTCGTTCTAGTAACTTGGCTACCCTCGTCATGTTCTCGACGTCGTGCTATCCAGGGCACGGCGTACCTTTTGCCACGACTCCTTTCCTAAAGAGAGTCCTCGCCTGCCCGTCCTCGGGCTGCCCTACAC